CAGGAAGCTAGCGAAGTCGTAGCATATATCGTCACAAACAGAACTGCCCGGTAAACCGTAGGCAGAGAGAGAGAAGAGGACAACAAACGAGGGGCTGTGACAAACTGTTTCGTCGGAGTATATATATATATATATATATATATATCCTCTTCTCCCTCTCTGCCGACCGTTTGCCGGGCAGCTCTGTTTGACTATATTTATAGATATAGACTATACTACTCATACATACCGTCAGACAGAACTGCTCGGTACATCGTAGGCAGAGTGGGAGAAGAGGACATATATCGTCATAGAGAACTGCCAAAGGTGAACTGTATGCATCGAGGGCGAATGATGTATTTGTCTTATTCGACAGCGTCGTGATATGGGTCAAGTCCATCCAGAGGGAGGAGTGGAATACCAATGATTGCCTGTTGATAACAGGTAGAAACAATTGGCAAAAGATTGTGTCAATCACACGAGGGGAAAGAGAGAGCTATGATCGTCCTGCAGTCGCTCTCTCTGATCGTTGTCATCTTCCTAGCTGCTGAGGATGGGCATAGTCACCCTCACATTTGCCTGTGTCACGCATATATACTTGTTGAAGAGCACACATGCACGCACACACACTTCAACCTCCTGACGAGTTGGTGAAAGTCCGCCGAAATAGTCTGGCGCAGTCATGCTTTTATTGAGTTTATAACGTTATACTACTTTATACTAAGTTTATAGCGAATATGACAACACACCTGCACACATCCATGATGCCTTTTTGCGGGACGAGAGTAAAGCTCCATGCCCAAGAGCTTGCATTTGTTTTTCTTGGTTATTGCAGAACTCTGTAGAAGCTCGATGATATATTTTGTTTCTTTGTCCTTTTACTCCTACTGCTTCCTGCAGGAATTCAACATGGGTCTGCTGCTCATTAACCAAGGGCTTTACCTACTGGGCTAGGCCCTTGGTTTCGACGATCAATGAATAAAGCAACCTGCTTTTTACCTTTTCCTCCTCGCCGGCCTCACCCCCTCCTTCCCCTCCACCCTTGATGATAGAAATGGAAGGTTTGTTTGTTTGTTCCTTATGTGCTTTCTTTAAACTACCAGTACATCCGAGCGTCTCTTTGCGGAGGCGCTTTCCACCAGCGTGCCAAGCTTTGTTAAAACGCCAGCACGACGCTTTTTCTTTTAGTTTGGCTGGTGGCGCCAGCCATTTTGGTCCGGTAGCCCCAAGTGTTCCAACCTTTCGGGATGAACCAATTTCAATTCTCAACTTCGCATCGGTCATGGGCCATCTACTGGTGGTTTAAGAGGGGATGCAGCAGAGTTTGAATCCAAACATGGGCCGACAATGCCCGACATCGTTTAAGAGGGGATGCAGCAGAGTTTGAATCCAAACATGGGCCGACAATGCCTGACATGTAATGAGAGAGATGTGGTGGGATGGGGACTTTTAGTCGCCGTCGTCGAGATTTAGGCCATTACAGATGGAAATATGGGGTAATCATAGATTGCTGGAGGAGTGGATCATTTCGGATAGTAGGAGCTAAAAAGTTAGTAAGAAACACAATATATCGTCAAACAAAGCTACGCGGTAAGGGATAGGCAGCTTCAGATGGAGCATAATGTCTGAGGTACTTCACCTGAGCAGCGAGGTGAGAAGGGTGACGATTGCAATCGGGCACTTAATGTATTCTGCGAAATGTTTCCTAACAGTAAGTGTTCGATTGTTGTGGAAGGCTCATTCTTTCTTTGTTTTGTGTGTTGTTTACCCCAAATGATTTCATTCTCCTGTTTTTGCAAAAAGATTCTCTCAGTCTGGACCTCCGCTCAGTTTTGCCCAAGCTTCTTCCCTATTGTCCACCGCTTTTCTGGTCATCTGATTGTATCTGGATTCGAACTTGGGTCTGTATTTTTCAACAGTTCGTGGGTGTACCAACTGGGCTCTGAAAGTAACCAGCATGCTTTGTATGTGGCAGAGACGGATGAAGATGACGAGCTGTTGCTGAATACTGCAAGAATACAAAGCCGCCAACTTGCTAGCCTGCGCGGCAACAGACAAGATCTCATTGTGGTTGCATCTCTGATCGGGCGCATTCCAAATCTCGCGGGCCTTGCACGAACTTGTGAGGTACAGTGCAATCTTCTTGTTCTGATTGCTCACATCCAGGGTGCTCAAAACTTAGGTCCTCCAACTTCCCAGTCTTCCCTCACAGTACAGGACCATCTTCTCTTTCTCATTCCCTTGACATCCCCACCACTGAGGCTCTGTGTTTGTTAAACTTTTAAGGGCTGATCGATTGGCACAGCCATTGGTTCCCACTTCCGGCGTGGATAACCTCCATTCTCATGTGAGCTGTGATGGACAAGATAAAAGGTAAGAGAGCAGAAAGCCACTGCCTGAGTCAAAAAGCATGGTAGAGGAGTAGTAGACCGTGTTTGGTCTCATGTCACCTGGCCTGTGTGTGGGGTCGATTAGTTGTGTTGTTCGTGATATGAACCCAAGGTTAGGGTACTGCAAGGTTCTACATAGGTTGTCAAAGCGAGACAATGGTCTCTCTCTCTCTCTCTCTCTCTCTCTCTCTCTCTCTCTCTCTCTCTCTCTCTCTCTCTCTCTCTCTCTCTCTCTCTCTCT